AAAAAAAAAAAAAAAAAAAAGACTCAAACAATCCCAAGCTCTTTAAATACAAATGTAGCCTCTGTAGACAACTTTAGTTCCCATCTCATAAATGCATTCATCAGTTTAGGTCAATATTGGCTATATAAAGTACAATCTTGAAGGAAAGTGTTTCACACAACATTTTTTTTTTCTCTTGAAATCCAGGGTCTGCAAAATTACTATTTGGGAAAATCATGCCAGTTTTTTCAACAAGCATTCGTGAAGTGGCTACTAGTGCCAGAACAGCGGAGCAGGTGAAGTTAACAGGCTGTTGCTGTTTGCTGGGTCTTAAAGGGTCCAAAAAGTGGGGAAAACTTTTGTGCTTATAGTAATGGAATTACAGTAACAGGCTAATAATATTTTTTAAATTAAAAAATAAAACACTCATTGCTTTGAAATGACCTAACCTCACAGTGCTCTGATGTGCATTACAGAGTTCTGGGTGCTCCGAGCATGGGTTACAGGGGTTGTAAAAGAACACGTCTCCATGGCAACCTGCCAGGCAAGGCCATGTTTCACATTCAGTGCCTTGTGTGAATAAGGTAGCCCAAGGCAAGCCTTCAGAGCCGAAGGGAGAGTTCAGTCGTCCTAAGAAGCAAGGAACCCACATCCTCCGTTGTGTGGGGCTGTTCGCTGGTTTTGCTGAGCAGTGTCAAAGAACAGTTCTAAAATGCAAAGGCACATTTATAAGAGGAACAACATTCTCCTGGTAGGTCTTTTTCATTTACTCCTTAGAGCTATCCTGAAGCTAAATTTCATCCAGGAGCTTTTAGTCAGGAACCCAAACCTTTGCTCTGACCCTGTGAACTACATCTTCAACCTTGTGATCCAGATGCAAACTTCCTCTGATGAGTAATCTTATTTCCCTTATCATAGTCCAAATTTTGTTTAAAATAGTTTTGTAATTTGGCCGCTGATACATAGAATTTACGTCATTGTGATTGTTGGTTCTTGAAACGCACCACTGATCCATGCACAACTTACTTTCATTTTGTTAGTTATTTTAGTTATATCCCCAGCCCTTTTGTGCTTTTTAATCTTGATATGGGGCCTCACTAATTTGCCTGGCATCAGATGGAACTTTTGATCCTTTCTCAGCTTCCTAGAGTGCTGGGATTACAGGTATATTCCACCATACTTGGCTTGATTTTATCAATTTTTTTTTCAGTTGTTTGTTTTTTTGGTCCTGGGGATTGAACCCAGACCTTCTAGAAGCCTGACTATATCCCCAGCCCTTTTGTATTTTTTTAAATTTTTGAGACAGCATCTCCCTAAATCACTAAGTTACCTAGGTTGAGCTTGAACTTGCAATCTTCTTGCCTCACCTTGCTCAGAGTGCTGAGTTACAGGCCTGCACCGGCACACATGGCTTGATCAACTAGATTCTTACATGCATTATGTGTATTCCGAAAGTTAGTGTGCGTGTATATATATATATATCTGTTGTTCCTAACTTTACACGTATCATTCTTTAGAGCTTCTATTGACAGGATCCATCCTGTTGCTGCACATTGCTTTCCTTTGTTTCAGCTTCTCTGTAATGTTTCATTGTATGAACATACCATCATTTATTCAGCAAGTCTGCCATTGCTCATCAGATGAGTCAAATCTGTACTTTCATGAACAGTTTTTGCATCTTGTCTTACACACATGTAAGCATTTCCCTGTGGTGTGCCTAGAAGTCAAACTGTTTAATTATAGCATGAGTATATTCAGCTTTACAGAATGGTGTCAAAGTGTTTTTGGAAAGCAGTTGCCCTAATTTTCTATCGGTAAATCAGTATGTGTGTGAGAACTAATGGCTTCTTATCATTTTCTTTGAGGTATCTTCTGATGAACAGAAGTTCTTGGATTAGAAAAATGCATCTTTCTTTTACAATTTTTCTTTTTGCTTGATATATATTTTAAGAAATGATTTAGTAAATCTTTCCTACCATAGTATTTAAACAATATTTAACTTGTCTGTATTTTCTCAGAGTTTTTAAAGTTTGTTTTATTTATGTATGATATCAGGTAATGAGCCAATATTTGACTTTTCCCACATCTGTCATATACCAAAGTATCATTTCATGTACGTACTATTCCTGGGATGGATTCTGCGCTATGATAAATGTGTTTCTCTCTGCATCATTACACTGCCTCACTAAGGCTTTATAATTGTCTGATATATGTTAGCACTCTCTCTGCTCTTTTTCTTTGCAAGTGGTCTCATAATTCTTGGCCCCAGATGATACATTTTAGAATCACTTTTTCAAGCTCCATGAAATCCCTATTGAGATTTTAATTACAATTGCCGTGGCTCTAAAACTTGATCTGGGTTCCGTTGGCATCTTCCCAGTATTTATCCATGAACACAGTGTGTGTCTCTCTCTCCATTTACTGAGCCTTCTTGTGCATAACCTAATAAAGTTCTGTAATTTTCCCACTGGGATCATAAATACCTTTTATTCAATTTATTCTAAGATATTTTAAATTTTCTTATACAATTGAAGATTCTTCCTGATTACGTTTTCTACTTTGCAACTTAATTTTTCACTTGAATGTGACACCTAGGAACCTAATTAAATCTCATTTTTTAATAACTTATCTATGGCTTGTTTTGGCTCTTCTCCGCACTCATTCTGTTATCAGAAGACTATGACAGTTTTATTTCCTCCTTTCTAATCTCCATGCCTCCAATTTATTTTTCCTGTCTTGTTACTCTGTGGGATTTCCTATCCAATGCTGGGTAGGGAGGTAATAATAGTAATCACCCTGGTCAGTTTTCTGACTTATTAGAGAATGTGTTAGTCTTTTAATATCTGCAGTTCCACTTCTAGTTTCCTCTTTTATAACTATAGTCCCCACATTTCTTTCTTTTGGGCGGGGGCGTACCGGGGATCGAACTCAGGACCTTGAGCTTAGCAAAACAGGCTGCAGAACCACTAAGCTAAATCCTTACCCACCCCACATTTCTTTCTATATTTTGCTTGTTTTAAGATCATTTCTAGTTGGTGCTTATTTGTTTACATTTGAATAAATTAGGTAACATTCTGGGGAAATGTCATTACAACATACACAGTTCAAGTAATAATAGTAAATTTAAATAAATTACACTAAATCAAGTTTTATTCATCCCTGTTCATTTTCTCCCTGATACGCTAGGCAGATTGATAAGATGCTTTAGGTCAAGTTCACTGAAGAAACCCAGCGTCCCATACCATGACTTTGAAGCCAGAGGAGGCAGCTTTGGTGGTGCAGATGAGGAATGTAAGGCCTCTTCGTTCAGCAAATATTAATCACGAGCAGCGTCACACTAAGTGCTGTGCTTCCCCTTAGAAATTTACTACAGAATGGGCCAAACAAGACCTGGGAGCTGATTTTTCATCAGGGGAGAGAAGAAAGAGACAAATGAGATGCAGATTGATTTAAGTCTTATTAAGAACATAGGATGGTAAGAAGGAGAAAAACCAAGGAAGCTCTTTTCCTAGGCCTCCTTTATTCTTCTTTGCCTTCAGGAAATTGATACTGAATGACATTGCAGCCTGCAACCGTTCTACCTACCACTGAGCCCTCCCACAGCTATCGTAATTGACTTGCTATCTGAGCCAGTTTTCCCTCAGTGCACACCACTCCCCTCGACCAAGTCTGAGATTCCCTAGTGTCGGGAACACCCTCACTGAGCGCTTTCTCTGTGCCCGGGGCCTGTCCAGGGGCCAAGCCTACCCAAATGAAAAGCTGATGGTCCTACCCTCAAGGCACTCACACTGCACGGGCAGGGGGAAGACACAGAGCGATGCTTTCGAAGCACTGTACACACTGCCGTAGAAACGCAAATAGGGCTCCCTGGGAACGCAGAGGAGAGATCCCTGAGCTGGTCTTGGAAGTTGGGAAAGACATCTGGGAGGAAGGGAAGCCTGGTGGGACAGTCTAGGCTCTGGGACACCAGTAGCAAGGAGCTGGTGGGGAGCTAGAAGTTTAGCTCTAAGGTTAAGCACACAGTACAAGTTCTGGGCTTACACAGGCTGAGTTAATACCTTCGATGACCCATCCGGCTAAAATATCCATGGCGTATGTATTACTTTATTAGCCAGAGATCCCATTTCTTGCACTTCAGCGTGTATCCTAGACCTTTTTCTGTCATTAGTCACATAGGCACATTTTACTTACAGTGGAATCTTCTTATGTGCAGTGTATTCTAGCTTGTAAGTTTTTTGCCTAACATCTTACACAGTTTGACAATGTCATAAGTGCCCTTCTACATCAATAGCTGAGTGGTACAGAGTATTTCATTGTGTGTCTGATGCTTAAAATATGTATCAAACGTGAATCACAGCCTTCAACCAATCACGATGGATGCTGGTCAGTGCTCTTATATACTCTTATCCTCCATGATTTTATTAAACCAGTCCTGCATTGTCAACTCTTAAGATTGTTCTCAGTTCCCTAACTAGAAGCATAGGTGAAATAAGTATCTTTCAAAAGGAACCTTTATGCAGAGTCATATGATTTTCTCAGGATAAGTTTTAATAAGTGGGAACTCCTAATCAGAGAAGGACCATGTTTTATCTTTTTGATATATATGACAAATTGCTGTCCTAGAAAGTTTTATCAGTTTATTTCTTGAGCCAGCAATGTTGGCTCATACCTGTAATCCCAGCACTCAGGAGGCTGGGGCAGGAGGGTTGCCTTGAGTTCTAGGCCAGCCTGGGCTATGTAGAATTTGTTGAATACACCCCCCGCCCCCGTTATTATGCTTTTTGAAATTTTTTCTGTAACTGGCCATTAGCGAGCATTTGTTCTTCTAGATGAACACTCTAAGATCCTTTTCGTCGTTTCAAAAATATTAGGTTTAGGTTGTTCTTACTTTGGTAATAATGGAAAACCTCGCTATATTTGGAAAGTGGTGTGTTTTTCTGTTTGTTGAGGTGTTCTTTTACAGTTTATAGTTTGACCATATGGGTCCTGCACATTTCTTGCCAAGTTAATTCAGATGTATTTGTTGCTACCGAACATGGTGACTGAGCTCTTTCCCCTACCCACCCTGGCCTTTCTGTTGTATGAATTTTTATGAGCTTTATAACAGACCATCCTATAGAACTCACCCACTGCCATAGTTTTTCAGCTGATTGTCTTGAATATTGCATGTAGTTTATTGCTTTATTAAAAATGATAATGAATCGCTTCTCAACCTTTTGGCTCAGATCAAGTGTAAACATGATAATGATATTTGCTGCTTTTCATACCTCTTTTTCTGTCTCTTGTCCAAGAGAATGGGTTCAAAAATTCAGATGCCCATGAGTGGTTTGCACAAGGTAAAGCCAGGA